TTTTTTTTTTTTTTTATTCTTTTTTTCTTTCGTACGTTTAAAACGTACAAAAAAACTTTTTAATAAATTTTTTAATATAGATAAGTTTTGCTAATACATGATGTTAAATTATTGTAATTATTGTATGATATTCTTAAAAAAGTATTCTTAATTCATTTTTTTCATTTTTTTCATTTTTATTTTTTTCCTTTGTTTCATAATTAGATAAGCTTTTTTTAAGGGGGGAAGGACAATGTACGGATAAATTTTCATTAGTAAACATTGTGTTATCAGGTGAACATATGATCTTATTAAAATTTTATTAATTATGTAAGATATTTCTTATTTAAGTATATTTAAGTATATCAAATATATATTAATAAATTTTTTAAATTTTCATCTGTATAACATAATAAATATTAATAAATTTAAAATTTTTACATTCGTTCCGAATTTTTTTTTTTATTAACATAATTGTTTCTTAAACATAATTAAAACTTCTAAGAATATTATATGTTTTTTCTAAGAATATTATATGTTCTTTCTAAGAATATTATATACTTTTTCTAAGAATATTTTCTTTTTTAATAATTAATATTTTTTAAGAATATTTTATTAAGTAATATTTTCTAAGAATGTTATTTTTTAAGAACGTTTATCTTTAAGAACGTTATTTCTAAGAAGATGAAAAATATGATTATTTTTAAGATTATGATTATTTTTAAAAATATAAATTATTTTTAAGAATATGATTATTTTTAAGTATAAATATTTCTAAGAATATTGTTTTTTTTTCTAAAAATATTTTTTTTAAGAATACTGTACTTTTTTTTTCTTTTTTTTTTTTTAATAAATTCGGTGATCAATAAATGAATCTACGTTACATAAATCTTTATAAATCCGAAAATCTTGGATAGGTTCGAATATACATGATTTATATTAAATTTGGGGGTATTTAATATATATAAAAAAAGTTTAGTTAGTTTGGTTAGTTTGGTTATTTTTTTTTTTTTTCTATTTTTGAATAAAATTCAACCGAGTAAAATCTCAATAAAACGATTTTTAAAATGAAATAAACAGGAAATAATCGCGGAGATACGCCGTTTGAACTGTAACACAAAATGTAAGGTAATGATTAATCATCATCCAATTTTTTTTTTTTTTAAAAAAAAAAAAGAATTCTAAAATTTAACGGCGTTTTATCTCAAAAAAATTTTGTGACTTATTTTGATTTGTAATTTAACTATTTTAAAATTACCAACCAAAATGTTTCGTTCTCTTTTGATCTAATATATTTTGAATTAACAAAAAATACCAGATGAGTAATGAAAATTCCGATAAAAGAATACCAGATGAACTAAAAGAATATCGGATGGATAATGAAAATCCCGATAATAAATTAATAATAATAATAATAATAATTTCAACAAAAGAGATTTTTTTTTTACGAATTTCGGCATTATCAATATGCCATTTACAGGTTTACGGTATTATCAATATTCATCCAATATAAAAGCGCATTATGCATTTATAGTGATATATAATTACTATTGCCGCAGCAAGTGTTAATAAAACGCAACAATACCAATCTCATTGACCGAGTCTCAAGCATCAATCAATTGATTCATTGATCAATTGCAGCAATCAAAATTTTTTTAATTTTTGTGTATTACAATAATCTACGATCAAACCTTTTGTTAAGAAATAGACTAATTCGAACCTTGTAAAAAAAAAAGGTGAATAATGTTTTTATATGTTCTATCTTTATTGATACGATTTTAAAATGAAATAAACAGGAAATAATCGCGGAGATACGGATTTATTATCATTTAAACTTTGTAACACAAATATAAAGTAATGATTAATCATCAATGGGTTCATCCAATTTTTTAAAAAAAAGAATTCTAAAATCAACAGCGTTTTATCTCAAAATACTGTGACTTATTTTGATTTGTAATTAAATATTTTAAAATTACCAACCACGTTCTCTTTTGATCTAGTATATTTTGATTTCGATAATAAATTATTATTAATAATAATAATTTCAATAAGATTTTTTTTTTTACGAATTTCGGAATTTTCAATATTCCATTACAGGTTTACGGTATTATCAATATTTAATATAAAAGCGCATTATGCATTTATAGTGATATATGGTTACTATTTCCGCAGCAAGTATCAATAAAACGCAACAATACCCAGAATGAATCTCATTGACCGAGTCTCAAGCATCAATCAATTGATTCATTGATCAATTGCAGCAATCAAAATTTTTTTAATTTTTGTGTATTACAATAATCTACAATCAAAACCTTTTGTTAAGAAATAGACTAATTCGAACCTTGTAAAAAAAAAGGTGAATAATGTTTATATGTTCTTTCTTTATTGATACGATTTTAAAATGAAATAAACAGGAAATAATCGCGGAGAAACGGATTTATTATCATTTAAACTTGTAACACAAATATAAAGTAATGATTAATCATCAATGGGTTCATCCAAATTTTTAAAAAAAGAATTCTAAAATCAACGGCGTTTTATCTCAAAAAATATTGTGATTTATTTTGATTTGTAATTAAATATTTTAAAATTACCAACCACGTTCTCTTTTGATCTAGTATATTTTGAATGAACAAAGAATACTGAATGGATAATGAAAATTCCGATAATAAATTAATAATAATAACAATAATAATAAACAAAAGAGATTTTTTTACGAATTTCGGCATTATCAATATTCAATATAAAAGCGCATTATGCATTTATATTGATATATAGTTACTATTTCCGCAGCAAGTGTCAATAAAAACGCAACAATACCCAGAATGAATCTCATTGATCGAGTCTCAAGCATCAATCAATTGATTCATTGATCAATTGCAGCAATCAAAATTTTTGTGTATTACAATAATCTACGATCAAACTTTTTAAACTTTTTGTGAAAAATAGACCAATTCGAACCCTGTAAAAAAAAAGGTGAATAATGTTTTTATATGCTCTTTCTTTTATTGATAATTGTAAGATAAATGTATGATAAATGTAGCATCATTTATTTGTATGCACAGCGATTTCGGCAAACTATATGTTTTTTTGTCGATCTGAAAATCTTTGAGAAATATCGTTATATCAAAATTATACGATACTCTCATATAGCGGGATCGGTGGTCCGACTGTAGTAAGCCTATAAGGGTTTGAACCTGAGAACCACATACGGATTGCTTCAACTTCGTTTCATGAAAAAGATTATTGTTACTACACTATCAACTCATAAACGTACTATAAGCTCATATTTTAGTTCCTTTTCTTAGATTTAGATTTTTTCTTTGATAATTGGCTATTATCCTCAATTGATTGAGACTTAGAATGAGCGGCAAATAATAGGTGAGTTAAGAAATTGTAAGATAGCCTATTGAGTAGGTGACTGTAATTCGACTTTGTTTTATCAAATGGCATGGGCAATGGTAGATATTCAATAGCAACACGGGGTAACATGATTCACTAACTTTTGAAAACTACTTTTTTTGTAGGGTATAAACTTGTAGAGATTTTTAATTGGGAATTCTTATATCATCTCGAGAAGGCAATAATCTACCTACCAAAACTATGTTTAGATTATGTCGACCATAACTCGATAATTCGAGAAGGCAATAATCTTAATAATGGCAATTTTAATGATACTAAATAGTTATGGGTGGGGAAAAGAGATAATGAAGAAGAAAATAGCGAGGAAGAGAAAGGTATATCAGTCGAAGACCGATATATCCTCCCATAGTTATAGTTCAATCATTAGGAATACTGCGGTGACCAATAGGAATTAATACTACTAATGACGATTTCAATATTGGATGACTCATAAAAATATCGGTCATTTAAAATCCCGCATATTCCTTAATCAATATTTCCTCATATAGTAGGAAAGTAAAAATTTTGAGTTTTTAACATGGGAGGATTCGCAGCAGCAAAAGTCAATAATATTTTTATAATTAATTTGGAAGAATTCCGTTTTTTATAAACTATACAAACTATACAAGGAATTTGTTATAAAAATATTAAGAATCATTCACTAAATGCTATAAAGAAAAAAATGTAAATAATGAAAAAAATATTAAAATCTTTTTTTAATAAAAATATTGTTTTTTTTTCTGAAAAATTAAATAAATTAGCATATAATATCAATTATATAAAAAATCTTGAAAAAAATTTTTTTTTGTGGAGTCTCACCTTTTGCTATGAACCTTTCCATATATTATTCAGATTTTTCAAAGATGATGATATATATTACTTTACAGAAGAAATAATATATATATACTGTATATTTACGTCAATTTATCTAATTTTTCGAATTAGTGTGATCGACAAATCTTTTTAATAAAATAAATATCAGCGGGAATTATTTACGAAAAGTGATCATGTGGACATATAAATTTATTTGATCTACACAATGCTAAGCCGTCACTGTATCATTTTCAAAATATTTTTTGCCATTTGTTTCATATTTTCGCTAGCAGTATATAACTTTGTGGTTTCGATTCCTACGATTTCTATAATCGACTTCTATAATCGATTTCCAACTTTAATTCTTATTATTACATTAGTGGTTACTGTATTAAAAAGTGACCAATAATTGTCCATTAATTATTTGGAATAACTTTTTGAATATAATTTGTATGGGGGTCTCGGTTATATTGATTAACAAATCACCTGATCACACTAATTCGAAAACCGCAATAATTAATAAATTTATAATTTACACTTCATTTACTTCATTTTCCTACAATATGTTCATCGGATTCAGATATATCCTGAGGTAACCCACACGTAACTTACGAACCCGGGAACTCAGTTTTCGTTATGTCATCAGTCATATGAGAAGAGTAAATTGCTGGTAAATCGCTGGTAATCATTGGTAAATCATTGGTAAATCGCTGGTAATCGCTGGTAATCTTTGGTAAAATCAACACCTTATATAATACAATAGACATTTTATATTTTATAGTGGATATTTTATATAATAGTTATTTTGGGAATGTGTGTAACGATCAGTTTCAAACAATACCGTATAACAAACTGGCTAAGTATCCGAGTCTAAATCAATTTAAATTGAATAGTATACAGCATTACAGCAGTACTGTAAGTACCCGACTGTAAAGTAAGTACCCGACCGTAAAGTAAGGTACCCGACCGTAAAGGAGAGCACTATACTTGCTTAAAATATCATTACCAACTAGTTGCTGATCACGTGAATGTTTATAAGCACTTTTCATTGTCTCCATTATCTGAAGAAAATACAACCGGATCGCTCTTTTCTTTTGTGGTTCGTGCTGCTTTCGAGCATAGCTATATACACAGTGAAATTCGATATAATGGAATCATCCGTTCCGTTAGTAAAATTTGTCAAAAATCCGTTATATCAAGAATTCCAATATATCGAGGGTAAATTAGTTATACGTTATGATAATTCGTTCCAGGCCCCAATTCCAATATATCAAGATTTTACTTATGATCCGTTATATAGGTTCCTTTAAACCTTGAGAAAATTATATGAACGTGGATATGTCAGGGATATTAAAAGATGTTATCAAATATGATATGTATAAAATTGACTCTACGGTAGTCAAGGATAGTAAAGGATGTATTAAATATGATATGTATAAAATTGACTCTATGGTGGAGACATTTGTTGCTGACATATAAATTTTTTTACATTTTTAGTCAAAAACAAATTTGATGTTGTATTAATCGATACAATGGGAACAATTATGATAACAACATGTATTGGGAATGTTTTGCTGCTTGCTTCTTAAAAAATCATGCACAACTGCCCACTTCCCCTGCTTTATAAATATACAACAGAATTATCATTAGATGAATTATAAGTATAACGACTGTACATTATATAATTAATGTGCTATCACTTTTTATTATTAATATTAATAGAATAAAATTAGTTTCGCTGATTAAAATATTAGATTACATATTATACGTGTAAATTACCCCAATGGATGACGCTAATGGTTAAAGTAAATTAAAACGCGTGAACTCCCTACTATATCTTTATAATTATTAAAATATGAAAGGAATAAACTTTTTTTTCATCTTGTTATTTGTAAATTCTCTCCATTTTTTCTTACCAAATTCATCTTCCATAATTTTTTCTTCTATATTAATACATTTAAATAATCCAATAATACTTATGATTAAATCAATTATAACGTAATACCAATAAAATTTTTTTATAATGAAAAAAACATGATTATTTAACCTCCAACCAAAATAAATCTTACCTAACCAAATCATAAACAATCCAGTATATTTAGGAAATTGAACGCAATCATATAAAAAGTAATCATCTTTTAAAATTAATTCTTTAAACAATTTATTTGGATTATTTGAATTAGGAGGATTTAAAATAAAAGATGATGGAGGAGTTGGTGGTAGTGATAAAGTAGGAGTTGAAATATTGACATTTGTAGTATGAGAATCTACAACTTTTGTAGTATGAGATTCTTTTGTAGTATGGGATTCTTTGACATTTGTAGTATGAGAATCTATAACTTTTGTAGTATGAGATTCTTTTGTAGTATAGAATTCTTTGACATTTGTAGTATGAGATTCTTTAAATTTTGTAGTATGGGATTCTTCAACTTTTAAAGTATGAGAATCTTCAACTTTTGTAGATTCTTTGACTTTTGCAGTATGAGAAACTTCAACTTTTGTAGATTCTTCAACTTTTGTAGTATGAGAAATAATAATAGGGAGTTGTAACATTGTGCTGATTTGTAAATAAACCCTGATTCTTTCAATAGCATTTTGAAAAATAGTTTTTGTACGAATGAAAGGTAAAGGAATTTCAAAAGGTAAAGAAAATAACTCATCATGAGGTCTTAAACAAAGTAATCTAATAAGAGCTCCAAGAATTGTTAAAGGTATAAAAATCATATCTAAACAAGACCAATAAGATAAGATATCATTAATAAAGTAGTAATATTCATACCACATAATAAGTAAATAATAAGATAAAATAATTAAAAAAGAGATGTTTAATAACTTTATATAAAGTAAATAAATTAAATTTCCACCTTCATGATGAAAAATTCTCAAATTTTTTTTTACAGGTAATTGAGGAGGAAATAAAGAAATGAAAACCAAATAATTTTGAATAAGTAAAATAAAAAGTTTTGACCACATGTTACCACGTATTATCACGTATTGTAGTTGACCTGATGAAAAAAAAAAAAAAAAAAAAAAAAAAAAAAAAAAAAAAAAAAAAAAAAAAAAAAAAAAAAAAAAAAAAAAAAAAAAAAAAAAAAAAAAAAAAAAAAAAAAAAAAAAAATAGAAACATGTAAATAAATAAATACATTTACATAATATGATGTAATTAAGCGAGCTTATTATTAAACTATTTGCTTATTATTAAACTATTTACTAGTAACTATCAATACTATCAATACTAAATATCATACTATAATATATTATTATAAATAAATTTACCAAATAAACACAATTTTTAAAACTGGGAATATGTAATAGCAAAAATAGTAAATTTAAAAATATTTGACAAATTAATCACTATTTTCAAAAAAAATTTTAGAAAATTTCTTTGTTTACTAAGGTTAAAGAAAGAAAAATTCAATATAACCAAAAAATATTTCATATGACATGATTGTATTATGTAAAGTAACATGCATTTCATCAATTTTCATCTTGCATAAATATAATTGTATTTTTTTTTGTTGAAAGACAGATTTGGGTATTTATTCAACTAAATAAGGACTCAAGTAAACTAAACGGTTTATTTAATTCAGCCAATTCAATTTTAATAAACAAAAATCATGTGTTAAAAAGAAAAAAAAAGTACCTTTGTTTTTCTAGATATCAAACGATAACAATATTAATTATTGTAAATAACACAAACAAAACAATGGGCAGCTTTCTTCCTTGCATAAAAAAATAATAAATAATTTTATTTTTTTTTATGGTCCATTTAACCCGCATCCTGTAAACCGGTTCCTGTTAAAAAGTACGGGTTCTAATTTTCAACAAAGGAAATTTTTAACCTGATTTTTTTATTTGTTTATTTTTTCTTTATATTAAACAATTGTTTCGTTTCTATATTTGTACATGGCAATAATTTTAAAATTAATTCATACCAAGTTTTATCTCTAATATAAACGGATTTAGATTCATTCATTCGGTTCATAACGAGAATAATATTAAAGATAACAATATCAGATTGATATAACAATAATATTTCCTAATATTTCAAATCTTTCGTTTATTTTTCAATTTGAAAAAAAAAGAATTCTTTGTTTAACATGATCTTAAAAGTTGCAAGTATATTATATATGAGACAATAAAATATAAAATAAGTTAAAATTTTCCCTTCTTCCTCTTTTTTTTTATTCAAAAAAAAAAAATAAGTAAAAATAAGTTTTTTTTTTATAAGTTTAAGTTTTTAAGAAAAAAGATGGTCAATTGAAAAACGGAATCAATTTTTCATCTGATAAGTATGCTATTACACTCGTTCGTTATAAGGGAAAAAATTTTTTACAAGAAAAAATTTTATGATTTATGAATATCGTATACGATACAAAAAAAAGGATCTAAAATATATGAATATCGTCGGAGATCGAATAAATTTGCATCGTAAAAGAGGAAAAGAGGGTGGAAAACTTAAGGTTTCTTATCTTCTTCTTCTAATAAGGGTATTGACCTCTTCAGCCAGGAGAGCATAACCGAGTTTCTCTTGGGGAGTGGCCGTATCCATAAATAAATCTACAGCACGATTAAATACTCGCCAGTCGGTAATCTGAACCGACGTCGCTACAGAAAACCGCAACAATTTCCTTCTATTCATTCTCATGCGATTATATGGTCGACCCCTTGTCAGTTCTCCGTGAATTCTTACGGCAGTAGAACGATTTGGGAAGTACTGATGCCTATTTGCAACTAACTGTTGCAATAAGCGAGCTACTTCCTCATGGAAGGAATTTACTACTTGAGAATTAGCTTGATTCATAATGTTAAGAGCTTATTTTTTATTTTTTAAACTTAAATATAAATAGTATGTTTATGATTTTTTTTTTTTTTTTTATTTTTTAAAACTGTGTTATATTAAAATATAATAAATAAATAAAACTTTTTTTTTTTTTCAAAGTTTAAAATGGAAAGGGAAAAAAAAAAATAATTTTTTTTTTGTACACTTTGTAATACTAATAATAACAAATTATAGTTTTTCAAAAAAAACAGAAAAATACCACCACCCAAAAAAAGAATTTTACAAGTTAAAAAAATTTTTTTTCAAGTTAAACCTAAAAATAGTTTAATTATTAAGAATTTATTATGCAACACAAAAAGGCTTTATGGTTTGTTTGTCGTGTCAATAACCAGTTATAACTTTAAAATCAAGTATTTTTTTTTTTGTAATCCCAATTTTTTTTTTTTGTTTTTAAAGTATATGTATAAAAAAATATACATATATATATTTATATGTATGTATGTAATATATATATTAAATAAAATTTAACATTTTAACGTCTCGCGTCTTGAAAATGTTTTTTTTTTAACTTTATAAATTTTATAAATTTTTAAATTAATTAATAATTCAATACATTGATATTTTATAGTAATTATGAATAAAGTTCTAAAAATATTACAAGTATTATTATTTATAATATAATTATAATATGCATTAAATTTAACTGGATTTATTAAATTTGACAAACACTGTAAATCCTTTTTAATAAACGATAATAAAACTTACATAATTCTCTTTTTTTTATTTTTTTTTTAAAAAAATTTAAAAATTTTTTTTTTTTTTTTATTTGAAAAACAAAATTTTATTTTAAAAAAGTAATTGGTAAACTTTAATCATCCCTGAAATATTACCTATTTTTAGATTTTCGGATATTAACTCGATAAACCAGTTTACAACCCGAGTTATAATAATTAATAATTAATAATAATAATAATAATTTTCTTTAATGATTCACAAAAAAAAAACAAAAAAAAAAACAACCAAAAAAAAAAAAAATCTTTATTTATTTATTTATTGATTCATTATTTTTTCCCTTTTTACAATAATAAATATAATCAATTAAAATTCTGGACTCTCCAGAAAATCACATTATTTTGTTTATCTTTGTTTTCTTTTAGATTATTATGTTAATCTTGTACTCCGCTAGTTTTTTTTTACCTTTGTAGAATATTCTTATATATCTTTGATAACTTTGTATAATGTTATCTTGCATGTAGAATGTTATCTTGTATTCTTCTTTATATACTTCTTTTGCCTTTGTAAAATAAGTTTAATGATTTTTCCTGTTTTATTATTATCAATAACCAAATTTTATATCAATACACGTAATATACGCAATATAATTCAAATATCATGATTATTTATTTACTATAATAACTATTAAACATACCAAAATGTATAAAGTATTTAGATCAATAAATAAGACCACTTTTTGTTATTTTGTATTATTTTGTATCACTTTAAGAATCATCAGATGGTTGAAAAGTCCTCAAATTTGATTGGTTTCTCAATAAAAAAAAAAAACACTTTTCGCCGAAAACCATTTGAACTTCCTATTTTTAGAAATAAAAACAAACCCCCGAATTTTTGATCTATAATATTCCAAAAGATGATATTTATTAAGACTAAATCAAGGTTCATTATTTTATTATGTTAATTAAAAAGTTGTATATTGTTGTAAATCCCACAAATATTTATATTTTGAACACCTCTTAAAAATATTTGATCATCATTTGTTATTCTTTGTCTATAAAGATTGATTTTCTTTTTTTTACGGTGTCAAAGTTATACAGTTAACGACAAACCTATGTAAAAAAAGTTTTTTAAGTTCGTAATCTCAATGAAATTTGTTCAAGAATTATATACAATTATAAACTGAAATCGTATATTATATATACTGTAATTACATATCAACCGGCATCTTCTGTGTTACAAACAGAAAAAAGCTTAGCATGAAATAAGTTTTTCAAATTTCTAAATGAAAGACTTAAATGCGCGATCAACAATTCCGGTCCTTTGTTTCCCAGTCCATAGGTTTATAAAGTTTGTTTCGGGATTATAATTATCAAAATTAGGCAATCTGTTGTACAATTTGTACCAAAGTACGTGTGAACTTTTATTTTGCCAAAATACCAATTTCAAATACTTTCGAAATTTTGATTGACCTATTTTGTTATATTTCATACATTTAAGGTTAAAAAAAAAAAAAAAAAAAAAAAAACTCTGGACTCCTTCTGGCTACGCCGACCGGCAGCTAACCGAAATGGAAACGGCGTTGAAAGCATTTGAAAGGTTTGCGTTACACAAATTTTGCTTTAATAAAAAAAATTAAATATTTTAGTATAAATAACAATTATATATTTAACAATCAAAAATAAAAATTGAAACGGTATAAGAGTGTTTTTAATAAGTGAGTCTTTCACAAAATCTGTTTTCATGTTGGAAAGTAAATTATAAAATCATTTCTAGAATTTCTAGAATTTCAAAAAGAACATACTAATTAAATCTTTTTTTTTTTAATCAAAAGTATAGTTTTATGTATTACCGTACCAGTTAAAGCAAAATAATGAATATTCCTAGTTGGTCAAATCTCGGGAGAAAGTTTGAATATAATTCCGGCCAAAATTAATTAACGTAATTTAGGCCAAAGTTGAAGTTTTAATAAGTGATCATTTTAAGGTATTCTTTGCGTATATAAACTCCTTGCTTATATGTTTATTTAAATAAAAATGCTTACTTACTATTCGCTTGTCGATCTGGTGGTTGTGAGCTGGCTCTGGATAGAATTTCTTAAATGGAATTTTTATTCATTGATTACTGGAACAGAGGTGTTTCGTTGGATTGTATTTTCTTTAATTAAAATTATGCATTTAGGATCTACATTCGACATAGGGGTGGTTCTATATTTTTATTTAACCAATAACAAATATGACGAAGATGACGAATTGAAATTGTTCTAGTTCTGAATGTACTTGATATTCTAGATTCAAAAGATGTTACCAGCTTTACAAAATCAATTAATGTGAGTGAATTTGTGGTACGTGATGATTTTTATAATAATAAACTTTTTTTTAAAAAAATTAAAAACATGTAAATAAATAAATAAACAAATAAAAATTTCTATTAATTATTTTAGTTATAAAATTCTTTTTTTAGATTCTTAGAATTTTTATGTTTAATTGTGTGAAAAAAAAAACTAAACTATCATATATATGTATAAATATATATATTTTTGGTAAAATCACAAAAATGGTAAATATGAATAATTTTTTCAAAGTTTAACTGATTACAAGGAAATTTATTCTTTATTCATTCATTCATAATTCTAAAATTTTATTATTTACATTTTTCTTTTTTAGTTATTAAAATTTGGTTGATTCTTTCTTAGAAGAGTTAAGCTTGGTTTATCTGATGAACTTAATAGTTAAGGTGAAACAAACAGTAATATTTATTAAATAGGTTTTTCCGCACAGAAAAAAAAAAAAAATTCTTGTTTGTGTTCTTAGGAAATTTTATGTTTGAACTAAGACTTTTTTAGTTAGATTTTAGAGAAACGATGATCAAGAAGATCTGATAATCCGTATTCGATGATTCTCATTGAGTGACCTCATGAACGCGTAGATCAAAAGTTTAGATCAGTATGTCTAAGTTGTATATGGTAAGTTCATGTAAAAAAAAACAAAAGACACATGAAAAGAAAATTTTTCATATCAGGGTGAAAACTGCATGATAACAATTAGTAAATAATTACACTAATCTGAGATAAAACTTGAATGTTCACGCTGTAATGTGCGCAACAATTGTTGCTTTCAATATTAGACTCGATGAAAACTGTTTTTTTTTTCAATTAAATGCGCTGAATTTTTGACTGTGTATTTTAATTTCGTGTTTCACTATTTATATTTTATCTGAAGGGCTAACTCTACGACTGATGAACGTCTTTAATTTATTATTTTAGGAGTCAGATTTTTAACGTTGAAACCCCACGTGTTGGGGCATAACGCCGTATTGCGGGCCAAAATCATGTGATCGCAAAATTTTCCTTGGTGCTGGCCAAACTCGATACCGCGGTGCGTTCTATTTTTAGCGCAATACGATCTCGATCAAGATATTCAAAATGGAGGTATACTCATTATACTGGTCAAACAAAGAATTTTATAAATAGGGCTTTAATCATTTAAGAAATTTAGCAACTGTTACAACGTTTTTTCGATCCTAAAAACGAAGTAGCTTTCAAAAAAACTTTTTGGTGAGGAATAAAACAAGCCACTTTTTTAAACTTGATATTAAGACGAAAAAAATGATGAATTATGACTGAAGAAGTTGAATTATTTATTACCTCAAGAGCTATCTCCTCGATTTGAAGATTCTAAAAATCTATTTTAAATGTTTTTTGACATGATAAAAAAGGACATAATTACATTGTTAAAATTCAACACAAAGGACTCAGTTTATTCATTCAAAGATTAGAATATTATGTCTCATGTACTTATTCTGTTCAAACTTTTTTAAGGTGGCTTCAAAGTGCAGGCCTCTAGTTTAATCCAAAATACACTTTACATTTAAAAAATTATTTCATTTTAACCGATTAATAGCAAATTATTGAGAACTTAAGCCAGTAATTCTACCTGCTATCGTAAATCATTAGTGATATTTCTTCTAAAGAGATTTAATGTATTAGTTACTGTATCATAGCGATCTTGAAGAGGAAATAAATAAATTTTTTATACCAAATCTTTCATATATATTTGTTGAACTTTCAAAATTCGGTAAATAGAGGAAGTCTCCGATGAAAATTAGTTATAAAAAAAATCGTTAGCAATGAAGATGATGAAGATGCAATGCAATTATAACTGCTTAAAATGAAGATTTAAGCTTTTGAAAACAGGGTTTTCACTTCAAGGTATTTCAGATATTATAGGTTTATCAGCTTCAAAAGTTGAGGAATTAAGTAAACAATAATTTTTTTTTTTAATTATTTGACTAGAATTTTTTGCCTAAAAAGTAGAAACCAATAAAAGATTTTGCAAATGAGGAGCCGTAACGAAAATTACACTCACGTGACAATAATTTTATTTATCACAGGAGCCACGCCCCCTTCATTTACTCCAACTTTGAATTATTCATTATTTCTATTCAACAAATGGACTCTTATATAAAATCATGGTCAATAGAATCGGTTATCTTTTAATATTTTTTGTACTATATCTTTAAATTAAAGCTGGAGTTTTTCAAAAAACAATTAATAATTATTGTTTTTTGTATACTAAATATTTTAAGCTCAGCAATAACCTTATAATCTATAATACAAATAATTATAAAAATTTTCTTAAATTTTAAATCAAAGGTTTAAATAAATATATTTATTGTTAGTAAAAAAAAAAAAAAAATAGGGTATTGCTAAATATCAACAATGGTAATCGTCACCACACCACTTAATTCTGGCCGAAAATTATAATTTTGGCCAGAGTTAAAAAAACACATCATAAATATTTTTTTTCAAAAATTTCAATTTAAATAATAAATGTGTAAAATAAACCTGAGTAGATACTAATCACACTAAAATTTTGAAAATTTGACTAAAAAAAAATCTTTTTTGAAACAAAAAATTGTATTTTACTTATAAAATCAAACTTTTGTTTTTCTTAAAAACTATTTAAACAACAGCCTTTATAATCTAAGGGAAAACTTGTTTACATATAGTGATGATATTTATTATAATTAGAATAATATCTCATTCAAAAATTTTGAGAATTCAAAAAATTTTTTATGTGTAATAATAATCATCACTGCTCTTGCCTCTTGATATGCCATATTGCCATATCAAGTATTATATATCTTTATAGATTACTTCTTATCTATCATTGTTTAATTACCTATTTTTTTTTGAGGGGCTGGATGGCTATTATAGGTGTCATCATCAAAATGCTGTCTTTATAATTATGACATTACAGCAAAATGGAAATTTGGCCTTAAAATATAAAGGTCGACATTCAATAATTTATAAAATAATTATGGTATAATTGTAGTAGAATGATATTACAGTATAAGTTTAATTAATTTTGACAACACCTATAATAGCTATAGTTGGGATTTAACAATACCCAAAAAAATAAATATAAAATAATATTAAACTAATATAATAATATATATATATTAAATTACATATAATTCTTAACTAGTGTTCTTCATAAATTAAGTTGAGTCAAGTTTCAAATCAATTTTTTATATGATAAAATTTATCTTACGTTGATTTTTATAATACTTTAACTATATTATTTATATTATGTGAGTTTATATGAGTTATTTTGAATCGCATATATAGGATACCATTTTTAATATTATAAAGAAATAATACTTATAGTTTTTTTATTATATTTTTTTATATATACAAAATTCAATATAATTTGGAATTTTGAAATTGAAATTTAAATTTTGAAATTTAAGCTATAATAAAATTAATTTAAAATTTAAGATTTATAATTTTAAAAAAATTTGAAATTAAGTAATTTTAAATTTTGAATGAACATATAATATTTTTCTTTCTTTTAGATTTTTAGATTTTTTTAATTTTTTTAATTTTTTTTTTTTTGTATTCTTTATTTTTAAATTACTTTTAATTATATATATTTCTGATAATTTTTCTTTGCAACTTTTTTTGAAATTAATTTTTTTTTTATAATTTTATTATTTTTTAATTTTAAGCTATTTTTAATTATATATTTTAATTATTTTTCTTTATAAATTTTTTTAAATTCTTCTTTATTTCTTAATTTTAAATGTAAAATCAACCAATTACAAAATAATTATATATTTTTCCTAAACAAATTTAATTATTTTGAAAATCACCTTTTTGGAATAAAAACTGTAGCTTGTTATTTTCAAATTAAGCAATACGTTAAAAAGGAAGTAGCAGAATGTTGGCAGTACTTTCTTTTTATAAAAAAAAACTATAAAATCTATAAATATTAATAACTATTGAATTATCATTATTGACAATTAAAGAAAAAAAAATTGTTTAAATATAATAATTACAATATGATTTTATTTATTGAATTTTTATATATAAGCTATAGTTTTAATTCAAAAAGAATGATACTTAGAGGTAAAAAATTTAATTTAAGATTATACATGTAAAATTTCTAAGAATTAGAAAATTTTTTTAGAAAAATACATAATTATAATTACAAATAACTTTAAAATATTTTTTTTTTTAATTGTAGTATATTTGATAGTATAAAATTAAACATAAAATGTAAAACCAATTTATTAATTTTAATATTATTAAAAATTGATTTTTTTAAAATCCAAAATTCTGCTAAAATTAATTTATAATTTCAATTGAATTCATAATTCTGGTAAAATCATAATTTCAGCCAAAATTAATATGTTAAATATTTAATTGATAATTCTAGCTTATATTTAATTTTAATATTTTGGTTAAAATTAGTTTTAAGATTATCTTAAGATTAATTATTCTAGCATATTAGTAAATCTGTAAATCATCTTGTAAAACCTGATTATGGTAAAATTATAAGTTCAATTTTACCAATTATAGAAATAAAAGAATTTTATTACAACATCAGGAAATTTGTTTAGGCGTAATTTAGTGTAATATTTCGAAGGTGGTGTAAAATTTCGAAATATTACACTAAAAACGTAATATTACAAAAGTTTACGCTCTTAAATTTGAATAATTATAGTAATTTAAGAATATCTCGCTATCTACTGATCC